ATGGGGACTCAATTTTAAAAGCGTCTGTAGACGTGATAGAACGTTTGTTAGGGAAGTGAGTTGTATAAATAAATTTTTCAATATGTTAATTAACTGAGAGAGTGTTTGAAAGTTGAATAAACATTGTTAAAATAAAAATATTACCAATTTAAGAAGCCGATGTTTGTATAAAAAATTCGTATGTCGTTGCTTGATCCATAAGTATATACAGGGTGTCCCACGGTGGATGGCGTATTAGACGTTTATGGAGAAATAAAAAGCGGATCATTTTGAAAATTTGGCAACCGGAATAAACGAACATGATCTACACTTTAAAAATATTTTTGTTTATGCGGTGTTGCCGCTTCTACTCTAAACCAGTGGCAACATCGCTATTTTGAATGAAACACCCTGTATGTTATTGCATATTTCGATTCTACGTAAAATTCTGAGCAGATTTCATGCGATATACCCTATACCTAAGTTCAACTGTTTTGGAAATATTGACAGTTGAAAATTGACTTTTTGCAACTTTGACATGCTGTAAAACTTTAATGGTTAAATTTAGAGAAAAACCGATTTTACATTCGTATCTTGCATTTTTATAAACTATCATTTGACACCAACTTTGAATTTAATCCATGAATAAAAATTCCGATTAAATTTAATCTCCGGTTAAATTCAAAGTTGGTGTCAAATGATAGTTTATAAAAATCTAAGATAGGAATGTAAAATCGGTTTTTCTCTAAAATTAACCATTCAGGTTTTACAGCCTGTCAAAGTTGCAAAAAGTTAATTTTCAACTGTCAATATTTCCAAAACAGTTGAACTTAGATATAGGGTATATCACATGAAATCTGTTCAGAATTTTGCGAAGAATCCAAATATGCAATCAAATACAGGGTGCTCCATTTAAAATAGCGATGTTGCTACTGGTTTAGAGTAGAAGCGGCAACATCGCATAAACAATAATATTTTTAAAGTGTAGATTATGGTCGTTTATCCCGGTTGCCAAATTTTCAAAATGATCCGCTTTTTAGTTCTCTATAAACGTCTAATACGCCATCCACCGTGGGACACCCTGTATATGGGTACCTATAATTATAATAAAATAAAAGTGTACCTATGTACATACTTGGTTAGTAGATGTACTTCAATAATCCAAAAAAATGGAAAAATAAATGACTGAACTAGTGATAAATAAATAAATAAACAATTCACCAACAATCATAACACAACACACAACCTCACTTTCCTACAGCTGGTTTTAGACCCGACGTACGTCCACCGAAAACAGACACTTTTAATTAAAATCATTTGTATTTTTAATTCATAGGTCTAAAAAAACAATTAGAGCATGAATTATAGAGAAATATGTTCAAAGTTTGACGTATAATAGGTTCAAATACTAAGAAATGTCCAGAACCCAAGATATTCCCGTCTGAAAATCACTCTTTTGAATCCCCCATAAGAAATACATTGCTGTCAAAATTGTTGAAATGTGTTTAGGAACCCATTTTAAATTTCGCGCCCGATTTTTCCTAACCTAACTAATATGGTGAATTGACGATTGAGGAAAAGGAAAATAAGTAATCCGAAAACTTTGTATGTCAAATAAAATGTGGGTAGTCCAGAAAATTTGTTTTGAAAGCTCAAAATAAACGTTTTTGGGCGTGGCACGCGCCGCCTCTGCTCTGAAGACACTATATGCAGACACTGGGACGCTTCAAAAAGCAGGTTTGTCCAAAACCAAGTTTTCTATTTAGTCGCTTAATTCTTAATCCGTTTGAATTTTGCAACAAAACTCTTCCACATAGTCGGACTCACAAACTAAAAACATATTGGCATTTCGTATAGGTCTTATTTGATTGTTTGGATTGCTGTGTTGGTGAGTCAAATTAAGGAATAACGCAATTTTCGACGTAAATAGTTATTTTTGAAGTAACGCGTTACTTTTAAAGTAACGCTTTATTTAAAAGTAGCGCTTTATTTCAAACTAACGCGTTGAGGTAACGGGTTACTTTCAAATAACGAGTTACTTTTAAGTAACGAAAGAACTTCTAAAGTAAAGAAGTTACTTTTAAAGTAAAGAAGTTACAGTAACGCGTTACTTTCCAATAAGTAACGAAAATAAAGTTATAATTATTCGAAAGTAACTGTAAATTTTAAGTAACGAGTTATTTTTAAGCAAATGTAACTGTAAAGTAACGCGTTACTTTTTTCAAGTAACGATCCCAGCTCTGCGTGCAACCAACTGCTATTGCTCGACGAAGACCAGGAGTAGTGAGGGGATGCAAAAGAGCTCCCCTATAGGTCGCCCAGCCCAATCCGAACCATTGAGAAAAAGAGCAAAACGGCGACATAATTTGGCAGGAAATGTTCGAACAAATCGTCTCAATGCCTTAAAACATTGTTCTGCACATTGAACTTGCTTTTCAAATTAATGGTCGTTTGCACCGACCATTTTATGGAAGGCTAAACGATAAGTAGGTATCCCTTAAAATGACATTCTCCCATGTAAAAATGTCATTTTAAGGGTAGACTTATCGTTAAGGCTTCCTTAAAACAGTCGGTGCAAACCAAGGGTGCAAACGGCTATTAATATAGGTAGATACTATTTTTCCTTTTTTTATTTTATGTACAGGGTGGCCCAAATTCGAGCCTCATCATTGGGATCTCGGTAACCGTAAGAGATACGGGGTCGGTTAAATTATGACAAAGTTGCGCAATTTTATGGCCAATAGAATGCCATTTTGAAACTAGAAATATTCCGAATACTTCCGGAGATATTCGGAAAAAAACCGAAATTTTGTAAAATCGTTTTTATTTTTTCCCGGGCTTATTTGAAAAGCGATTTTAAAATAAATGTCACTTCATCATTGTCACTTTTTCCCCTATAGAAGATGGTGCTACTAAATTTAAATTTCGACGTTTCGTCTTCAGGCGGCCATCCTCAACTGCCTTTTTTTAAATACGGACCTGGATTTTTTTTTGCGATTTTGTCATCTTTGGGCATCCTAAAACCGATACTGTTTAAATTTTTCGATAACACAGTTTTAAATTATGAATCAAGTAAGTAGCACTTAGAAGTAGTAGATACCAACCTAACCTACTGACTTTCTGTTTTCTTTTTTAGAAAATTTCTTGTATATTGCATATGTATATTATGATGTACACTTTATTGTATTGTAATTGTAACTGTAATTTAACCATTCTTAGGTATAATAAATTTGTAATATAGTAGTTTATAATCTCAGCACAACACAAGTGTTAAAACACTTAGGTGCTTGTTTTTTGAAGAAAAAAAAAAAGATGTATTGTTCTTATCATTGAATATTTATATACCGATTGTATACCTCTGTAGAGTAGAAATAAATAAATAAATATCCATACACAATTTTATTCATACATTTTGAATTTGTGTGGTAACGTTCTTGACAGTTGAAGCATCTTTGTATGTTTATGTCTTCATATACTGGTTAGCGTTCCCATTGTAAACAAACTCTTTTTGTTCTTATTAATTTGTGAAAAAGTAATGGCAACACTTCTCCATTATATTATTATCGAATTTCTTCTAACCGGCTTTAAATACATATGTTATCCTTAGCGAGTCAGTTTCATCAATAAAGGTATTTTGCTCGCGCAAACTTGCTTCAATTTGATCCATGTCTTAAGAGCCTTCGTATTCAGTTATTTTAATTCTCGGGTTCCTCATTCTTGTTATTTGGATGTCATATTCACCAAGTCTAGTTTGAGCTTCTTTTTGAGCTTTTCTAGATCATTCTTAGTGTTACATTTTATCATGATTCCTCCAGTTTTTGTCGGTCTTGTATTCTGTATTCCAATTTTTAATGTAGTTGGGTTAATATTTCGTTGCAAATCATTTTTTGTGTCATGTCAGCTCTTTGAGATTTTTTGGGTAGAATTGATAGATTTGGTATACTGTTTATAGGCGTCTCTCTAGTTAAAGAAATATGGCCATTTTGAAGAGCTCTACTAAACGATGGCACGATTTCCCTAATATTCTGTTTTTGTAGTTGAGCCTCTTTATCTTTTAGCATCTTTATTATTTCCTCTTTACTAGTAATAATACATATTTTGTTCTCAACTGTCTTTGTTTGGTAAAGGGAAATCAAAGTTTAGACATTTTCTGCATAGGAATCGCATAACACTTTCTCCCTGCAGTTCCAGCACGTTTATTTCAGATGATGTAAGGTCACCACACTCAATGCAATTTGTTTTGTGACATCCATCACACAAAAATATCTTTAAACCTGTACTTTTTTTCCTTTCACACAAGTCACATTCCATTTTCCAAATCAAAAATGGCAAAGGACAGTTTTTCAGAAATATTCAGTAGCAAATTTTGGCTATTCGATCCAAAATTCAATGAACAATTGTGTTTCTCTTAAACTTGGAATTTTATTATTGACGAACAGTTGTGCTGTTTATCAAAAAACAAGTAGGACAACAAAGAATGGAATGTCGATTGTACTGCTATTGTGCTGTTGTCCATTCATTGATTCAAAACCACTGCCAAACGAACAATTACTTCACCAAAATAATTACAGAATTTAACCATTGCCGTATCTGCTACCGTTTACGGGATCCCCTTGATAGACATCCTTATCTAACGTCAACAATAGCAATTTTTAATTTATCTGGAAATGTAACAGTTTTGAAACAAAGTTTTATAAGGTGCACTAAAACCTGGACAATATTGAATTTTAAAAGTTTGATAAATTCAACCGAAATAATATCATAACCTGTGGCCTTTTTTTTAATCAAGTTTATCGATTATATCTTCCACTTCTTTTGGCATAATTTCCTCAGGGTCGACAAACATGGATGCGGGATTAAAAGATGGTTCAATAAAGTCAACTTTTTTTAAAAATAACTAGAAAGAAAACGTGACTAGCTTAAGAGCTAATTTTAGAACCCAAGTTAAATCAATACAACCGCAACTGTAAGAACTTATTTATAATATCAGTAGTATCAGGCAAAAAATTACAAAAACTCACCTTTAGTCAATGGCTGTCCACTATCCAAAATACATCTGACCGCGCCCATTTTGGTCGCATAAAAAGCAACCTCCCACTTGTCAGTGGCAATATTGGTCAAATTTTTGAGCGGAAACTTAACCCAACCAATCGGAAGCTTCTCTTTGACTTCCTTGGATTCCTTTTCTTCTTCTTGCGCCGAACTTCTGTGACAATTCATGCAATAACACACCGAATCTTCAGAGGCAAAATAGAAATCCGGTAGTAACAGTTTCTTTTTGAACTGTTCGCACTCTTCTTTGAACATACACAAAACCAACGGACTCGGCATAGGCGAATTGATAATTAACTGACTACTAACCAAACTGGTACTAGCCAAAGGTAGACTTAAATTATTCTCGCTTCGTTCTTTTTCGCCCAATTCCAAATCGGCCTTTTCACATTCGGTATTCGATGAAGCACTCTCAATTGTCTTTACTTCTTCATTTACTATTTTAATCTTCTGACATTGACCATACAAATCAAAAACCGCATAAATCGATTGTCCTTGAGGATATGTCCACGGGAAACTTTGTTCTTCATTGCCGTTTACAATTAATTTGAAAAATTTGTTATCGGTAACCATTACTCCGATAGAGTCACCTTCTTTCAAGGTGTTTAGGACTTGACCATAATTCGAGCGGCCTTTGATACCATTTATCAAAATCCAATCGTTAGCTATAACGCAACTACTACCTTTAATTGCCAACGCAGTCACTGGAAAACTTAAACGTTCCAATGGACCAGCAACTACTCCAACTACGATAGACGATTGCCAACGAGTATCCAATTGTTCTATTTTTACTTGTATCGGCTTATTTGCTTCTAAAGCTGGAGTAACCACAACTACTCCTTGATTGTAAGAAGCAACTCGTCTAGCAATAGTCTTATCACATTGCAATTCAATATTTCTGCCATGGTTTTCATGGAATTCGTATTGTTTCAATTGAGCTTCACTTGAAGTTAATTCATTGCACTCGTCAAGTTCTAATGGAGCTTGTTCATGATCCAAAATAATTTCTAAACTGTCTTGCATGCGTGCGTAACAGTCTTGCAAACGTACGCGTGCACTATTCAATGGAGACAGAGGAGGCGCCTTATGACTTGTTACGGACAATTCGTAGCACTGGCCTTTCAAATCAAATACAGCCCAAATGTTATTTGTTATTGTGGGGAATTGGAGAGCCAATTCTTCGCCGTTAAAAAATATTTTCAATAAAGAGTCTTGCGTTAGTAAAATGCCTATTCTATCGCCGCTGTTTAACCAATTCAAACTAGGAGTGAATAATTGTAATAGTTGATTTTTTCGACGCAATTCGTTGCCTGTTATATAACAACAATCATTAGGCATACTGTTGCTTGAACTAGGCATTGTTTCTGTAATACCGACACTCAAAGTCCCTGCCATATGTTTCCAAAGGCCCATAAGAGAAACCTCAAAAATTTCATCTTTGGTCAACGGAGTGCTACTGTAAACGATACTGCTATTGTAGTCCTTGGATCTACAAGCAACTCGGCCATTTTCACTTAGCAAAATTCCTTTACCATGGTGCTCTGAAAATCTATGCAAGTCTAGTTCATTAGGAAGCAAAATGTTTGCAGCTTGCAATGATATGGACGTGTCAGATCTTGGACATGTATCTAAGCCTACTGATGCAAGTGGCGCCACAGGTGTAGAGCACGGAATACTAACTCGGGCGCATTGGCCGTACAAATCAACTACTGCGTAAATATTTCCATGAGGTATTAGACAGGCGGCGCCTTGAGAGACTCCATCTTTAAAAAACTCTAACGATTTATCACTGGAACGCATTACACCCAATCGGACACCAGATCCTAAAGTATCCAAATCACAAGGGTAATTATTTTTGGTGGTTTTTCCATTAATCATTATAGATGCTCCGCTTAACATCCAAGTAGCTTGACTTAAATCGGTTGCTGTACTTGGAAGCTCAATATCATCAGGTCGGACAGCCGTCACACCTAATTCAATACTTCCTGACCACCGATCCACTATAGTGTCTAGAATTATTTCAAATATTTCACCATCCTTCAAAGGCCTATTTGAAAAAACTATTGCATCATTGAATTCGGCCAAAGGACGCGGTCTTAAAGCTGTCAGACCATTATTGGCTATTCTAGCATTTTTTCCATGCACATGATGAAATCGTAAGTCACTATACAAGGTGGCATTTGACAAGCTTGAATTATTGGTATCTGGTGAGGCATAATCGTAAATGTCTATTAGAGATACTGCAACGCATTGACCATATAAATCTATAACTCCGTAGAGTTTTTCTGGTACGTTACTTGCTGCACTGCCTTGATCGACTCCGTTAACAAAAAAGTGTAGTTGGCCATTTTCTTTTCGTACCAAACCAACTCTATCACCAACTTGCAGCCTATCCAAATTCACCCCATATTGTTCTTGAATTATGGTGCCGTTGTGCATTATGCCACTTCCAGTCATCATCCATGTGCCTGATCGAACATTGGTCATGGTGAACGGGAATTCTAGTTCCATAGGACTATGAGTTGTCACTCCCATTTCAATAGATCCAGCCCATTTCGTCACCACTTTGTCTAGTTTGATTTCGAAAAATTCTCCCGTCTTCAAAGGTCTCGCTGTCAGGACTACTCCGTTGTTGAAATCATCTGAGGCGTTTGGCCTGTGCGCTGTACGGCCGTTGTTAATTACTTCAGCGTGAGTGCCACAATTTGGATGAAACGTTAATCTATCATAATAGTCTGAAACTGGTTGCGGTTCGGGTACAATACTTTGTTGTTCGCGAGTATTTTTTCTTGTCATCAAATTTTGTTCTTCGCGTTCGTCTCGCTCAACGATGGAAACTTTAATTGTCATTCCGTACAAGTCGATCACGCCCCAAACTGTTGAGGGAACACGTTGCGCCGCCACGCCCTGATCTGAACCGTTTATAAAATAGTGCAAATTGCCGTCAGGTTTTCGCATCATGCCCACGCGATCCCCTTCGCTTAATTCGTCCAAATTGAAATCGCCGTATTCACGTCTGGTGCCTTTGCCGTTGGTCAATATGCCACAGCCAGACATCATTATTGTGCCGCTGCGCATGTTTGTCATTGTAGCGGGGAAAACTAAGGTGTTTGGGTTGTGAGTGGTTATACCCATCTGAAAAAAAAATAGTTGTTGAAATGACAATAAAAAACTTTGGGAAATCCAGAAAATAGGATTGATTGAATCTAGAAATAGCTTAAGATTTGTGGATTTCTACTGATATAGGTACTGAAAAAAAAAGCAATCTCCACTAGAGGGGTGTTTTCAGTAGCTGAAAGATGAAGAAGAGTAGAGGCAATCAATGATAATGAAAACTCCCTTTGAACATCAAAAGACTAAAAATCTTTCTAAAGTCCAAGTACTTACTTACCTCAATGCTACCGCTCCACTTGTCAACCAAACGATCAATACGTATTTCAAATAGTTCAGAATCTCTTAGCGCTCGCTGAGTCATCACGACGCCATTGTTGAATTCGTCCAGTGGCCTGCGTCTTTCCGCTGTCCGATTGCCATTTGAAAGTTTCACTAAAGAACCGCACCGGTCATGGAAACGCATTTTGTCTTGACGAGCGATTTCTTCTGGCATATTGACACTGAAAATGTATTTATTTTTTGAGGATTTATAATTGCTACATAAACAACTAAAAAACAGTCAAATTATCCCAAATATGACTATAGAAACTGTTAACTCACCTAACATTCATGTCCATTCTGATATCCAAACTATTACTGCTGCTCAAACTGAGTTCGCTCAAATCACCTCCTAATGTAACATTCAGTACATCATTTTCTATTGCCAAAACTGAGCTACCGCTAAGACAATCATCGTTATTATGTTCCCTGTATGTCGGACTAGTAATGCTGACTTGCACACATTTTCCATATAAGTCTACCAGGGCGTAGACTGTGTTCGGGAGACCTTCGGCTGCTACGCCTTGAGATTCTCCATTGATATAGAAGATTAAATCACCCTACATGATAATGTAGCATAGAGAAATCGTTACTATAATTAATTGCTTTGTTACCTCAGATGTTTTCATTAAACCGATTCTGTCGAATTGGTTTAATGTGTCCAGGTCTGCTCCATATCCTTCTATTATAATATTTCCGTTTTTGAATACAGAAATGCCAGACAGGATCTGTAAATTAACATTATTTGTGAAACTGTCAACTAGTGATTCAATAATAATTCTTGCTCACCCATGATCCAGACTGGATTCTGGAAGCAGAAGGAGGGAAATCGAAATGGAGAGGGTCTAGGTCTACGACGCCGATTTCCAAACTACCTGACCAAGAATTGACCTGAAAAGCAGACAGAAATTATTTCTGAATTATTTTCTGCTAATTATATTTCAAGATAAATATAATGATGAAGTATGGATAGCATTCAAAAGAATATCAAGATGTTTAAAAGGAGCCATTGAAACTGTTTTAAAATTTAAAAGAAAGGGAGGTGAACCTTTTTTATGCTTTGTAGATTCTGATTGGGCCGATGATTGATACAAAATCCGTTTCATGTTATTTGACATAAATATTTGGAAATACTAGGTCTGTTTCTGCAGAAATCACAAACCAGTCCGAGCGAATTTCATTGGTTGAAAACAGTCAGAAAACTAGTTTCAACCAATGAAATTCATTCTGACTGGTTTGTGATTTCTGCAGAAACAGACCTAATATATCATGGGTAATTCGCAAACAACATCGTGTTGCACTTCCACGTTCAGAGACTGAGTTGGTGACATTATGTGTAGCAGTTCAAATTTTTTTAAGGTTTAGAAAATTAATGATTGATATGAAATAAGATTGCAAAACTTTCGAGATTTTTGAGGAGGAGGACAATCAGGAATGCTATGAAATTAAAAATCCAGATACAATAAGTTTGTGTCCAAAGAATTAGGGCTTCTTGCGAATGAAGCTTTTTTTTGGTGGATAGTTGATACACTTCTTGGGGTGTCGGCAGTATCCCGTCGAGGTAATTGAACCTTTTTCAGAGTTTAGCCAGACAGTCGCACAGTAAATATTCTGTGCCTGTCTTCTGCCTTTTCTATTGCCTTCAGGTAATATTTCACTAGGCAGAGTCTGTGCTTTATACAGTATAAAGTTGATATTTATTTTTCATAAAATGCTAAAATTTGGAACTTCCCCCCTCCACAAACCCCTGCACAATTTTCCGGAGTATTAACATCTGTCACACGATTACCTTCTGATATAGTGGTAATTTAAAAATAGTCTCTTGCTCTCATCATCAAAAGTTCCACAGGGTACAATAGGCCCACTAACTAGTAAGTACAAAATTTTGATTAGCAGTTAAATTAATCAAAAGCCCTCAACATAATTCAGTTCTACTTAAACTGTAGAGGAATAGGATTACAAATCAGAGACGAATAACATGTTTATTTGTATAAATAAGATCTTGAATAAAATATCAAATTAGAGAGGGATAAGTAATATACCCTCTGCTGGGTTTATACAGGAAATAAAATTAAATTAAATAAGACCAGAAATAAACAAAAATCAAAAGGTGGTTAACTTTTAACTTCCTATTTTAATTCAAGTGAAAATGCTATTTTTTTCTGTATAAACGCATTATTTTTATTTCCTATGTTATTTCCTTGGTTATTTCTTATTTTATTTCCTGTTTAAACATTTCAGGCTTTAAACATTTTGTTTTCAAAAGATCTTAGGATTCAAGAAAATGATTAAGAGAGGTTGTTGTGAAAATAATAATTCTTGAACTTAGTTGTAGGTTGTAGGTACATAATATATGAAGGGTGAGTCCCAAATGAGTGCACATTTTATTATGATGGATAGAGTACAGTAGGACGATCACTTTTTGCATGGGTATATCATGGTATATGTGTCTGCAAACGTCTCATTGAGAAAGTACAATGTTGAAATTTTCAGAAAATTTTGACTTTTTCTCTTTAGATCCAAAATGCCTTTTTTCAGAGAGATTATGGATCAGTAATACATATTGTTAATTAGCGGGCGCTAGCGGTACCCTAGTCTTAAAACTTCATTTTTGAAGTAATGAGATGGATTGTTCATAGTTTTTCCTGAGTTCAATAAAAAAATTATTGATAAAGTAAAAGACAGTATCATTCGAATAGATTTAGGGAAAACAAACAGCATTTATTTCAGTGGATTATGTGATGGTATCGATATGTAGATGACATAGATTAATTTCAACCTTGGAGGACAGCTACAAGCAGACCTTAATTATTTTGCCATCGTGTAGAATTAATGATACCCTTGAATATTAGAGGGGTGTGCGCCAAAAATTAAAGTTTTAGTGTAAAAAAATCTAAATAACTGTTCAAACCTCGTTATTCTATGATAAACCATTGCTGAGATATACCCACCGCTTTAAAGTGTGTCTGACGTCACGAGAGCTTCATCCAGCCGCGCTCCGCGTTTTTAATTTTATTGTTCCCGGCACGCGTGAGTGGTTTTTGTTTAGATTATTGCAGGTGACACAGGAAAAACATAATAGGCCAAGGCACTTTTAACGAAATAACAGCCATATTTTAACATAAAATTTAACAGCAAACTATCGATGCAATATTGTTAAGGATCATTTATAGATGCTAAAAACCAAAAATGCAACATCTAATTACTTTAAGGGGATTTCATAAACAATATTTAATGCAAAAACAGGGCTTTTTTTGTTTATTTCACTGTATTTCGAAACCTAAGGATCGGATGGTTTTGCTACTCTGGCAATAGTTTTAGAGCATTGAACAAGCTTTACAATGAGCCATCATACAACCCTGTAGGTCTTTTAGTCTTCGAGAATTAATTTTTTCCCCCAAAAAAAGAGATTTTCGTAAAAAATTCCTAACTTTTTTAATTTTCATGCTAGATAATTAATTTTTTACACATACATAGTAGATGAGGCAGGCTTTATTGAGCCCAAATTTGGGCCCGGTCTGATGGGTCGTTTCGGCCTAATACCCTTTTCAAGCAAAATGGGGATGTTTCTAAAGCAGTCTGTCGAATTGAGGATAATTTTTTTATATTTATTTTGAAAAGTCCACTGATAAGTCGAAATGCCAAACTATGGATCCTCTATCTCAGATTTTCCATTTAATTTTTTTATCGCAAGTGAAACGGCTTCGAACATGACTGAAAATGGAAAAAAATTGACGGGAATTCAAACGGAGTGACAGCGAGCTCCCCCCCGCCCACGCAAATTACATTTTTTTTCCATTTTCAGTGATGTTTGGAGCCGTTTCACTTGCGATAAAAAAATTAAATGGAAAACTGAGATAGAAGATCGATAGTTTGGCATTTCGACTTATCAGTGGACTTTTCAAAATAAATATAAAAAAATTATCCTCAATTCGACAGACTGCTTTAGAAACATCCCCATTTTGCTTTACGAGGGTATTATGCCGAAACGACCCATCGGACCGGGCCCAAATTTGGGCTCAATAAAGATTGCCTCATCTACTATGTATGTGTGAAAAATTAATTGTCTAGCATGAAAATTTAAAAAGTTAAGGAAAAAAGGAGAATGTTAAGAAAATACTATGCCAGGCCAGATCCAGCAATAAAAACCAAAATTAACAAATTTGGTAAAGATATTCAGGTGTTAATCTTCAAATACAAAACCAACTTGTGGCCTCAAACCTGCCACGAGATAAATGAAGAACAAGGCAAAAATTTTTATTCAAAAATACGTAAATTGACAAGCTACAAGGTCTCCTCCGTAGTTCCAGACTTGGAAGAAAATGGCATCACATATTCTACAGATCAAGAAAAAGTAAAAAAGTTCCACGATTAATATAAGCAACACTTCAATCAGAACGACCATCCTGACTTTGACAAGGACAATAAGGTATTTATTGATAGATGGTACGAAGAATTTTTCAACGAACAACAAGAAATAAATCAGCCTAATGAAGTACTTGACCCAAATGAATATTATAAAATAATTCATTCACAAAAAGATAGCGCACCAGGATCAGACAACATTCCGTGGACTGTGGTAAAGCAGTTTGAAGTTGCAATCCACGAGTATATCATGAAAATTCTTGAATACTGTCTTAACAAAAAATGTTTTTCAGAGATATGGAAAAAAGGTACCTATCATAATTAATATACCAAAACCACATAAAGACCATAAGATAACAGAGATCTCCTATACAAACTGTATATCTTGGAAGTTCCTGAGCACCTCATCGAAATTATCAAAAACTTCTTAGAGAGCAGGAAAATTCAAATTAAAATCAATAATTAAAAATCCCAAGAATTTAGTCCACAACAAGGAGTACCACAAGGATCGCCTCTATCGCCATTGTTATATGATGTATATTGCTATGACATAAATGAAAATATTGCCGATTTGGACGCCAACAAATGTATCCTGCAGTTTGCTGATGACACAGCACTAATTACACACGCTAAAACTAGCTCAGAAGCTGCTACTAAGCTTCAACACTATACTCAGCAAATTGAGGTCTGGTTCCAAAAATGGCGCTTGACTCCAAATCCATTGAAATCGCAATATCTCTTGTTTAACCACGCAATTCGTGTAACTTCACCTCAAATAACTTTACTCAACCAACCGATCCGACCAAAGCCGACTGCTAAATATCTGGGAATTGTAATCGACACTAAACTCAATTTTAATAATCACACTAAAGCTATAAAAACCAAAGCAATTACCAGAGCAAAGCATTTCAGAGCATTAACCTACAAGAACCACGGAATTAACTGCAGAACGGCCACAAAAATTTACAAATCAATCTGTAGATCTCTTCTAGAATATGGACACACAATCCTTCTTAATCTTAGACCACCAGCTCAAAAAAACATAAAAACAGCAGAAACTTCAGCTCTTCGAGCAATAACCAGAATGCGACATCCTCAAAACTCACTGTTCAATCCAAGAAATAAATTGCTTTATCAGAAGACAGGAATTGAACCAATCCATCAAAGACTCCACACACAGTTTCCCCATACTGACAACAATTGAGAAGCTTCAACAGTTACAAAACCCCATTTAATTTAAATTTTTAAATTGTATTATAATTTTTTCCTTTTTTTTCTTTTTTTATTACACAAACAAAAGTATTATTCTTAGTATACAACATAACATTTTGTAAATATTATATATTATTGTAAAATTTATCTCGACTGAAGGACTTCGGTCGATGGCCTTTTGGGAAACCATTAAAGTTCTTAATAATAATAATAATAAAAAAGTTAGGAATTTTTTACGAAAATCTCTTTTTTGGGGGGAAAAAATCATTTCTCGAAGACTAAAAGACCTACAGGGTTGTATGATGGCTCATTTA